CCCCCTCCAGCAGTATGTTGTATCCGTTGTCAGGTGTGCGGAAGGCGCTCTATTAGCCGTACTGTAGGCTGCACTATGCTGCAATAATCGTACTGTTTTCGTTTAGGTCTGCGTCCCAGCTGTCCCTTTAATGAAATGGGCGGGGAGACAGGTTGGTACACGGTGGTCACGCCTGGAGGGAGGAAAGGAGCCAAAGACGTAAAATACGAGCGCCTACCTTTGTGGCGCTTCAGTGCAAATGGCCTTTAGATCCTGATGACCCCAAGGGTCTTGACTGACTGGGTGTCCGGTCAATCAGAGGGGACCTTGCGCTAGCGGGGAGAGAATGGCGGATCGGGCGACGAGGTACGGTCCGAGATCGAACGGGCGAACTCCCGCGACCCAATTTTTAGTAATAGTTGCCACGTATCAAGGTGGTGCAATCCCGGTCGCCGTTGATGTTTGGCGCGTAAAGGATAAGAGATTGCCAATTTTACAGATCCAGTCCACAAGAAACTACTTCTGCTAGAACAACCTCCTCTCGCTTAGTGTTAGAAGAAAACCGCCAAGAAGAATGGGATTCTTTTATTAAAAGTCTCTGACATAAGAGAAGAGTAATGCAAATGTAATGCATAGTAGATTTTTGCTAAATAATAAACATTCATATTGTATATTTATGTACTGTAGATATGATACTAAACAATATTGTTTAAATTACGTAATTCTAATACATATTTAAATCAATTTAGTCAAACTAAGGGAGGTAAACGAAAATTAGGCTTTTAAGGGGAGGACATGGCCCCCATGGATCCGTTAGTGGACAGAACATATGTTCTCAGACTTTTCCAACCTTCACATGACGCCATTTTAAAACCAAAATCTCATGATGGTGACATAAAGCTCGTTGAAACGTGCAAGTATAAATTGAAGGGCGAATTATCCGTACGCTCCTGTAAAACAAATATTTTTTAATGTGTGCAAAAGCGTTTATTTCTGAGTAAACCTGTTTAATAAGAGCTTTCTCATCGACGCCTAAAATTTGTAAAAATGATTCTCTTTATTCATAACACGGAAAAGTATTTTTCTTTGATGCTCTCAATCACATAAACTTGAAAATAATAACTGTAAACAGCGCAAGTTCTTAAGTATTAAAATGTAGATGTTGTTACTGTTGTGATTCTTGCCTAGCATTCGGATATTCACGGATTTGATTCCAAGCTGTCAAAATTATTGGTGTTTTTCCAGATCCAACTTGCAAAATTAATGGGGATAGGACTTTTTACGAATTTTCGACTGTCTATTCTTGATGTTTATGAAACACATTGATATGAATGCCTATGCTTTAATAAATGTAAACATTAATGTTAGCATCATTTTGTCTTATAAATCACAATTGTTCTTAACTCCATTTTTGCTTTCCCGTACACGTAGGTATATTCGGGAGTATTATACGTAGTATAGGGAAAATTACGGAATCCTGCGGAAAATCTATTTCGAGATTTAAACTGAAATATACGTTTTAGGGTCCCATGATACCGAAAAAATTGTTTTCCCCAAAAACGCCCGTCAGTCTGTGAACACCACTAGCGCCTAAACCATACGTAGATTTTTTTCCAAATTGAAGACACCCTTGTCCATCTGCCTCGAGTCGAAGCTTCGAGATTTTGGAAAAAATCTTTTAAATTTGGAGGTCAGTACATGAAGCCCCCCGAACATTTTCAAAATGTTCTCAAAGACGGTTCCAATTTTTTTCTTTAAATTTTTTGTAAGAATAGAGTAAAATATACTTTTAAAGTGGCATATGTCCTATTTTCGCGGTTAACTCTGAATTTTCGAAAATTGCAAAAGTTTGCATTTTTTCGGCCACAAAATTGTAGTTAGAGATTTTTCCTTCAGATAAAATATGTTCTTCTTAGTGAGTTCTTTCATTAAGGTAATGTACAGAGCAGAGGCGTCTGGTTCGGGCGCCAGGTCACTTGGGGCTTGGTCGCCGGCGGCAGATGGCGCGCGTTCGCTTGCACTCAGGCGAAATGTACACGGTTTTGCTCGCAACCTGACACGTTCCCTCGGTACATACCGACGTAAGGCGATGCGCGAACCTGCTTGGGTGAGCTGTCCATCAATCTTTTCCATCTTTCAAATTGTGAAGTTCCGCCTTTTTCTCGGGCCTTTGGCGCTGGTGCGGTGCGTCACGTCGGCCCGGCTATGACTCGCGCCGCTTAAAATACCATACATCACCCCAAATGCGATACCTGGGCATTCAATCGATATGTAGATTTCTATGTAAAACAATATTTGTTCACGTTTGGCGAAATACCCTCGTGTGGTCGGTTGCGATGCAATATCCAGGAAATGGGAACACTACAATAACATCTGCGTAACTAATTTCTAATGAGCGCTCAAATTGAAAGAGAACCATACAGCCTTCGGCCGTGTGAGATATGTATGGCAGTGGATATATGTATGGCATTCGCTAGATACACAGAGAGGGGGATACAAACAATGAAACAGTTTAATCTTGAGGAAAAGGTGCAAATATTTTATTGTGTTACTCCACCTGTTCTAATACTGGGCGTATCGACTAAATTTTCATTCTCGGTGTTTCACCACTTAAGACACAGCTGACGTGCGACAGCAAGGCTCCGAGAAAGACACTGTCTGCTATTAAATTTAATTTGCTTTATTTCGTCAGAGAACAGTAAACTATGGAAGAGAAGAACAATCTGCGCACATTTTATTGAATCTCTTCTCCGCACCATAATTTGTTGAATCATGAATCAATGTACCAACAAAGTGATATTAGCAAAGTTTGGAAACTAGACCTTTTCACTCATGAATTATAGAAAACATATGCATCGGTAAACAAACTACAGTTTTGAATTTTTAGTATTGCTAACAAAATAGTAAACTATACTCCTATCACAACCAGCTAGAGGAGAGTTCAAAATAATGTGTGCATAGTGAAGATACATTTATGTTCAGAAGCCAAACAAGGGCTCCATCTCAGCATTTGCTGAATGGATCAGGAAAGCTGGCCGAAACTTTATTGTGATTGGGGTCGTTGCCCCAGAAGTGAAGTACATTTCTTGTTACAAGCTTATTAAGTATTTTTATTCAATACAAATGTAAACTAATGCATTGTATATCCTTGTTTAAAGAAATATAATTTTTAATATGGTACTCGGAATAGTCTCTAATTGTTTAGAAACGGTTAAGCAGCAGAAAAGCTCGCACTTTTAACTTAAATTTGTGTAATAAAAATTCTCTATATTTTACAACAATAATTTATTTAAGACAAACATTTACATATATTAATTATATTACATCATCAGGTATTCTTGACAAAATGAAGATGGAATAGTTTGATAAGTAGTAATCACATGATGTGACAAAAATACACCACAAGACATGAAAATCAAATTAAATTAAACTCTAATATCAAACTAAAGAAGTAACCCCAAAATTTCTTCAGTTGATCTCCAAGTGACTATATTACCACAGTGGCCTCGAGCTTATTTAGTTTGATATTTATTTTATTTTCATGTTTTGTAGTGTAGTATACCATGTAATTTCTATTTATCAAACTATTCCATCTACATTTTGTCAAGAATACCTGATAATGTAATGTAGTTACAAAACGTTATAATTGTTTGTCTTAAATAATTGATTCTCTTAAAATATAGAGGAGATGCATTTTATTACTAAAATCAATAATATCAGAAAGTGGATATTTCTATTTACAATTTCTACATTAAATTAGTGTATTGACTATAATTGTTTAATGTCATCTGGCAAAGTGTTGTAAAGTACTAGTATTATACAGGTGCCCGGAGAGGAAATGTCGAAACTTCAGAAATAAGCTCTTATGACAATTTTAAGCATATTTTGTGTAATAAACTTCTGAGATATTCCAAATAGTTGAGCCTCAATAAGCACTCAAAAGTTTGTTTGAAAAAAATGTTTCTAGGCAAAAATTTGTATTGCAGAAGCTTTGAAACACTCTAAAAACATATAAATTGTTTATTATTTACAAAAGAAATTAGTATATTTGTTCAGAAAGAAATATTAACACAGAAATAGAAAAGCACCCAATTTAACACAATTCAATTCCTTTTTCATTTTTGGGTTAATTTCTCTTTCTGAACAAATATATTCATTCCTTTTGTAAATAATAAACAATTTATATGTTTCCAGAGTGTTTCTATGCTTCTGCAATGCTAATTTTTGCCTAGAAAGAATTGTTACATACCAATTTTTAGTGCTTATAGCACTAAATAGTTTGGATTATCCAAGTGGTTTAGTAGACAAAATATGCTTAAAATTGTCTTAAGAACTTATTTTGGAAGTTTTGGCGTTTCCTCCCCAGATACTGTGTATATGGATTCTTGTAGTGAGGTGTTGATAGTAACACCTAATAAATGTGATTTCTGATGATGAGTTGTAATTGTAATTATCAGTATTTCAAAAAAATATGTTCCTACTGGTCAGTTTTGATAAAAATTATATTCATGAATTAATAACCTAGGCTTTGGAAAGATTCCAAGCTCAATAAAGAGAGGCTTGCTGGAATCAGGTGGATGGTATTTGTTTAACATTCATATATTTTTTTCTGCAGTCTAAAAGTCTGAAAACTATAGGATAAGCTTCCCTAGAATATTATGCCATATCTCAGGTGGAAATGTACATTTACAAAATACACACAGGCTGCATGAAGGCTGACAGAATTTGAAAGAATTCTGAATCCATAACATAATGAACTTAATTTAGTGTTGAATTCATTTAAATCCAATTTGAAACTGAATTAAAACCCAGAAATTTTGTTACCTCTACATCGGCCATTGCAAATTGTTCATTTTCCATGGTGCATGTGATTGCTTGTTTGAAGCACAATAATGCATTGAAACAGTTTTTCCTTCGTAGACTAATAATTTGTTATTATGAAACCAATTTAAAACTTCTGCAATTGTACTATTTATTGTTTCTTTTTGCAAAGAACATTTGTGTGGTCAGCATTCAGAACTATTCTTTTCTTTCTAATGAATGGAGGCATATCGTTTACATTAACCATGTGGAACCCTATGCTCAGTTGGCAAAGATTTGGAAAGATGAATAAATAATATTCTTTCATGCTAGTACGGTATTTCTACTCTTTACCATCAACGTTTAAGGTTTAAGGAAACAATCTAGGGCAATACTACAAATTCCATATGAAGGTAATTTTGGGAGAAAAATGTTATGATCAATGGTGTCAGAAGCTTTTGAAAGATCTAAAAATATTTCAGTATTTTCCCAGTGCTTCATTTTGATCAATAGATAAAGCAACATCTTAAAGAAAAGAGAAAAAAATAACAGTTCCTGTAGATTTTTGTTTTCCAAATCCGTATTGAGAGTCTGAAAATTCTTTGTTTTTCCTGAGAAAAGTTTCTACTCGCATATAGAACAAATCATTCTATCGGTATTGAGAAAAGTTACAAAAAAAAATTGGCCGGTAATAAATATTTGCTATTCACGTGTTGCATTATAAAACAGCAACTTTATATTCTTGGTATGTCTCTTGTACTGTGTTTCCATATATACTACATACATTATGCTATTGCGGTATTTGTGAAAATCTTTTAAATTATGTAATTTATTATAGTGTTGTGTGTGATTTCTTAAAGGGCATGCATGCTACTTTTTGGAAAACCATTTTGTGGGGTTTTGTTCAGCAGCATTTTTGCTTTTGCCGGCCACTACCATTCTCTAATTTAGTCATCGTCGCAGCCTGTGCTTTGCATATGTTTGTTTCATTATTATGATATTTGATTAACCAATCTCATCTAATTTTGTCATCGTCACAGCCTATGCTTTGCATATGATTGTACCAGTATTATGGTATTTAATTAACCAAATGAATAAGTACTACAGTTATACAAATGAGTATTCTAAAATATGCAAATATGATTTACTTTGTTTACAGATCGGTTTTGCGGCAGAGAAAGCAAGAGGAGCGAAGAGAAAGAAGAGAACGGTTAGCATCACAAGTGCGGGAAATGAAACGCAAGCAAGAAGAGTCTGAAAGTTGGCAAAAATGGAAAAAATCGATATTTACTCCGTTGAACCTCGGTGTAGGAGTAGGAATACTTTTGATAGGTGGAGGAGTAATGGCATATGTGTATTATTCCAATAAAATGTGAAACGGTACAATTATTTTGGCCAAATTGAATGAATATCTTCACCATATACCTGCGATATTATTTTCTTGTAATTATTCTTCTTCATTATGATTTATAGTGTTTGTGTGGAACAAATCTTCATGAATTCAAAGTTTTGAACAAGAATGCCATATCTGATAATCATAGTGCCTCAAAGAATCGAGTCATTTAAAAAAATGAGTGCAATTCTTAGTGTGATTGTTGTGCATGCCTTGTTGACATTGTGCAACAAGCAATACAAAAAGTGACTTGTGGTTTGTATGGAAGTTTTTAATGACAGATTAAATGTACGTTGTGGCGGTTGGATGATATCAATGTACAATACTATGGCAAATTTGTGTGCTAACTGCAAGTGTGATTTCAACTGTACATCGTGACAGGTTTCAGTTGGTCACTTGCAAAGTATATATGTATAAATACATGTTTAAAAAGAGGTGGAGAAACTGAACAAATAAGATGAAACATTAAAATGTACCCAACTTATTTCTGTATGGTATATATACGCTTCAACTATACACTTTTTTCTTTATGTATTTTGCAAAGGTGATAAACTTACAAAATAAGAAGTAATATTTTCTTGTACCTTCATTTGTCACAACAGAAGATGAAAATTTCTTGAACGGCTTAAACAGCATGCAATTTCAAGAACTTAACTGTACATCGTAACTCTCCTTATGTTCTTTGTAGAATTACTGGAAATGTTTCACATAGTAATATAGTGGTACTTGTTATGTTGATATAATTTTAAAAAAATTAGTTGAAGTTGTGCGATTCAATGATATGAAAATCTTGTCGAAACCTTAGTGCTTATTTTCAACACAAATGTATTTAGTTAGTTTAATTAAATTAATTTTTTCCTGCGATAAATTTTGAAATTGGTTATATTTAATGTTATTTATACGACTTTACACCAATAAATCCTCTATGAAGTACTGTCACATCAGTAAATGTCACTGATGTTCAGCAGTATGAATAATATTTTGTACAAAATAGAACTGAATGTATTTTTCATTAGCAAATTCAGTATGAGGTTGTATAAGAAATAATGTGATTGTGGCATTTTTATTTTGAGACAAAATGTGGCACTAGGTTCCTGAAAAGGTAACACCTCATACATTTTCATGGAAACTCTTAAGATGTGCAAGTATAAATGTAACACTTTGAGAATATGCATTCAACCACAAAAATTATTTTTATCTAGTATTGCAAATGTATTTTCTTCAACAATGAACAAAAGCGAACATGTGGTGCCCAAAAATTTATTAGAGGTAGCTTTCAACAAATACACTGACAAAAATCTTCAGTTCTTGACTCTTTCCCCTCTTTGCACAATTTCACAACAAAAAACTTCCATCCTCGCCAGTGTACTTATGCACCATGACCAAACCCCTCTCTTTACAATTGACAGAGTTACAAAAAATGTAATGTTAGAAAAATAATAAATAGTTAAATGATGTGTGAAGGAAAGAAAAATTAAGTGACTTAAGTATTTCATCATCCAAAATTATAGTTATCAAATGTAGTGAATCAAATCATTAAGATAATTGTAATATTTAAAAATGACTAATGCATTATAAAACAATGAGGAATTCTTAAGTTAATGTGATTTGGGAATATTAATTCAAAAATGAACTCTGCTAAATAAAGAAAATGTAAATTATTTATTTGCATGATATACCCTAGAAAAGGAAGTGTAATTTTAGCATCTCTTGAAATGTTTAACCCAGGAATACCCACAATATACCTGTGAGATCAGTTGCTAGTTATTTTCAGATAATCATAAGAGGCAATATACCAATGAAATGGAATATTATGTATCCTCCCGATGTTTGTAACTGAGTAATCCTACAGACCTGCATAGATTTTATTAGCCAGTCAGCAATTACATGCTTTACAAGCTATTTGTATTATAATTTTGTATTACATAAGAGAAAAATATATTTTAAATATTATGACTAATTTTTTGGGGGGAGGGGAAGCAACAATTTTTTGTCTTCACTTCCAACATGTACTAGAGAAAGCTAAGAAATTTCACTTGGATATATTTATCTTAGATAATATCACAAGTGTATTGCAATTTAACTGTAATTTCTAAAGCATAAGTGGTCTTAAAACTAGTATTTCATGAAGAAAAGCAAATAGCCATATATAGTTGGTAACATCTTAATACCTGCAAGATACAAATCTTGATTATTAACCAATTAAATCCCAGTGGCCTCATCTGTGGATGCACAATTCTGATCAACTGGTTTGTTTCCTTTGCATTTTATATCCTCAATAGACATACCTCCTAAACAAAACATAAGCAATTTTATGTTCTTGAAAGCTTTTGCTTTTTGTTTATTTAGCTTGATATCACAAAAGCACTATATGTTCCTAACTGACATTGTACATGTGTTCATGACTTGCAAAGTTTTGAATCTTCTGAAACTGTGCTTAGCTGCTACGGAGAAGCTTGCTTTTTAGAGAGGCCAATGTATAATTTTAAATTAACAAACCCTTCACATTTATCTGTTCCCCTTGTCGACTAGAGCTTCCTTTCTTTCCTCCTTTGGCTGTTTCATGGAAACCCCTCCTGCTCATTGTCAGCCTGCCTTCAAGTAGGACATTGCTCTGAATGAAAGCTATTTCTCTACCTAGCCCTCAGCCATCACAGATTAATTAATAGTTTTCTGGTTATACCATTCAAAGTGCCTCTGAGGATTCACAGGTTGTATACTGTTGTTGCAGTTAGTGATCTGAATTCTAAGGGGCTGCTCTGGCATTCGTCTGGAAGTAGTCAGGGAAACGATGGAAACCATTGATAAGAACTGTTGGTCTACGAATTTGGGTCCGGCTGACCCCACAAATTAGCTGATGTTAAACATCGGGCAAATCTGCATCACCTGCCAGGGATTGAAATCGCAACCTCCCAATCACTAGTACACTTACTATAAGGTTTGCCTTATCCGCGTTGGTGGCTTACTCATCTACATTTTAATTACACTGGTAAACAATGATTTGTTACATAAATAATTTCTGTTGATTCTTGTGTATTTTCATTTGCCGGTTTCAAAAATGAAATAAGAAATTTTCCATCGCCCACCATTTTTTGTAAATTTGAATTATTTTGCTGGTTATTAGCACTTGTGATATGTAAGATGCTGATTAGAAGGGGTATTTTACATTTTATTTCATTGTGTCAACAATGGACTTAGAGTGTTTGGTGATTGTTACCGTGGATTCACAAGTTTCAACAATGACAAGGACATTCCCTTACAAAACTATGAGTTAAGGTGAAGTTTGCAGATGAATTTGTTTCTTAAAAGAAAGGAGCTAATTCTGTGCTCTCTTCCATTGTCAATTGGAGTGTGATAGAAGTGTATAATACTGCCCAATGCATTATAAGGTATAGTGTAGAAGTATATAAGAATCATATCTCAAAAGTACTAATGATAAACACCTTTGTTACGTGTGTAGTGAGCTGACTTTCATAGCGCAGAGGCGAAAATTTACTCCTCTAATAAGAGCTTAAGTCTGTTATTTCAACAACAAAATAGACCAGAACAAGACATGGGCTCCAGAAATCTTCTACCAAATGTGTAATACTGTTAACTGGCTTGTTGAAAGGATCCTGTAATGAGCCTTATGCAGTCCCTATGGTATGGCGCGAACCTAAAGATCATTTGACAGACTGCAACTTCTGCTTGACAAATATATCTGGAATAAGTCCAGACACAGCGTTAAATATACGTCTTTAGATTCCCCAATTCGACTGGTGCTTCATGGGACAGGACTTCCCATACCAACTCTACCAGATATAAAAATGACTGAAGAATTTTCCGATGTTCAGGATGAATTACAGAATTATCGCGGAAGATGGTGCTATAAATGAACTTCGCTTTGTAACACAGAAGGATTTAAATGATTTGGTTTGGGATCTTCGTTTAATTAAAACCAAGGCAGAATTACACTCTCAAAATTGAAAAGATTAAAGCTACTGCAGGGTGACGCAAAAGTAGCTCTTTTTCGCCAACGCCGAAAAGAATTTGAGCATTTGCTTTGTAAAGACGAGGACCTAGTTTTCTGCAATGACGTTGAAAATTTGTTCTAGTTACTCGGTGTTGAGCATAAATCTTAGGATTGGCGAGGACTCGAAAACAAGTTTGAAAGGAGTGTTACTACATAATGGAAACGCATCCATCCGTTCCTTTAGCCCATGCAGTTGGTTTGAAGGAAAATTATGAGAATATGAAACTTACTATCCGCTATCAAGTATGGCAATTTTTCTCAGCAGATATGAGAGGATTTGAAAGTTATAGTCATCTTACTAGTGTTACAATTTGGGGGTATAAAATTGTGTTGTTTTTTGTACAAGTGGAATAGCAGAGATAATGTAAACATTATATTAAAAAGCACTGGCCGAAACGAGAGTCACTTAATCCAGGACATGAAAATGTTCTTCACCAACCACTTGTACGTTCTGAAAAAGTCTTATTACCGCCACTGCATATCAAACTAGGCTTGATTAAGAATTCCGTGAAAGCTCTGGCTCGTGATGGCAGTGCATTTCTTTTCCTAAAAAATAATTTCCAAATGATCAGTGATGCTAAACTAATGGAATATTTCTTGGCCCTCAAACAAGGGAACTGATGAACGATACGTTATTTGAAAATGAGTTAAATATGCAAGCAGCAGCTGCGTGGCAATCTTTCAAAACTGTTGTAACGAACTTTCTAGAAAACTTCAGGTCTAATAACTACAGAGAACTTGTCAGTGAGATGATTGAGAACAACACGATAACGGGATGTAATATGCAAATACACTTTCTGTACTCCCGTCTCGATTTCTTCCCTCAAAACCTAGGGGATGTGAGTGACGACCACGGGGAGCGTTTTCACCTGGACATCGCGGAAATGGAAAAGCGCCACCAGGGTAAATGGTGCCCAAATATGATGGCAGACTACAGTTGGTCACTAAAGAGATGTTCCGCAAGTGCAGTGCAGTCGAAAATCCAATTCACGTATATTTTAGGTGAGTAAATCTAACTTCAGCTAAGAGATCATAATACTACAGTGTTACAGACACGTGAAATGTTTTTGATGTGATGACTCGAAAACTCTGACCGATGGAAAAGTGCTGCAAAAATGATTTGAAATTAGCACAAAAACCTAGATCAGTAACACTTGTTTCCCTTATAGCATAAAAAGTTCAAGTTTTGTTGCCCAGTGTTGTATTTATGGAGATCGTGGCTAGCTGTTGGTCGGCGTGCTCGCTTTCCACTACGCGGCCCCGGGTTCGATATCCGGTCGAGTCCAGATTATAGAGTGCGTTGTCATTGCAATGCCCCAGTGTATGTTGCTGTGCGACGGTGAAAATATTCACTTCTCAGGTTGAGAAGATAGGAATACGGCGAGGGGATGTCTACGTGCTAACCACACGTACCCCCTTAACAAATGGCCGCGAGGCAGGGACGTCGCCAGTAGGCCTGAGCCCCTTAACGGGCAATCGCGCCAAGTTTATGTAATTTATGCCTTGTATCTTTTTTATATTTATTTCGAGTTTCAAAATTGTTAGGTCAGTTATTAAAGCCGGCGTCGCTGAATTACTTACCTATGGTCCGTAAAGTCACGGAGGTTGAACGATTTGAGACAACGCGGGTCCCTGGATGGGTGGTCGTCTGGGAACCCAACGGCGACGAGCCTCTGGCCTAAGGGATAGAATTGCTGGAAACCATGCCAGAGGGGCCCGGGCGGAGTGAAACAGCGCGAGCTCCCTCAAAGGGGCGCGAGGATCCCCCAAAGAGTGATCCTTTAGTTCTTTCTAAACCATTGGAATTGCAAAGGTCATGTGACGAGATCCATTCTACCAACCAATCAACGATGTTGCACCAGGACTTTTACTAATCACCCAATACAATGTGTGTTACAATATATAGTTCATATTATTTTTTTATCAATGGAGTTATTTTTCACCTCTGAGACTTTAGAGTCGCCTCACCACAAATATTGCAGATACTGTTTGGCTGTTTAAGACCACTACGTAACATTCCTATGAAATATTTCATTGTTATACACGCACAAAACGTTTAAACACTTTACATCACAGGTTAATTTAGAGTGTACGTACCCTGACTGTGAGGGAAAATTACCACGAACAACGCTACATGCACTCCGAACTTCGATACGAAAGCTCGCACGTGGATGAAGTAGAGGTGATAGTGTTTGTATACTGTATTACAATCAACAATCGGTCATCGACGAGTCATTCAACAATGAATCATCTAAGTCCAATATTCTTCACGGCGAAGAAATAAATTATAGTTTAAATAGCGACTTACATTTGCAAGAGTAAATTAATATTGTCATCTGTATTGCACTTGCCTAGTTCATGCCCATTTACTTTCTAGAGAAGAAGGGCAATTGCATAAAACATAAAACGTCGTTGTCCAGTGTTATGAACGGTGCTATGAAATGACCCTTCGGACTCACGCATATAATAATTGTGAGTGCGCCCCGTTCTGCAGAATATATTTTTGGCAAATTACTTTCCTCTTAAATTGAAGACGTTGCTACTTGTGTAATGTACAACATGCAAGTCTCGTCCAAATTAAATATTCTGGGACGAGAAAACTTTAAACTTCGTGCACCATCATTCAGAAGTTTATAAAAACATCTATTACCTTGGTAAAGACCTTGGCTCTGGCTACCGAAAGTTAGGTGTGAGTCGTTGCAGAAAACCCTTTAGCCATTTCTTTCCAACAGAATCTTTGTTTATTAAAAACATTATTTTATTCCCTAGTGCCACTTCAAACGCAGAGGCCCGAATATCACTACATCTTAACCAATAGAATATTTCATTCATGACTCTGCAATCATAGGCAAGATGATGTTCCATTTCTTCTGGAAATACTGGTTTTCTACCAATGAGTTGAACATCATTTATATTCTTATCCTTACACCTTCCCACATAA